AACTAGAGCTGGGATCCCCCACGTCGTGGATGAGGAAAGGGAAACCCATATTGTTTCTCCTGCAGACTGTCATGCTGTCATTCTTACTTTTTCATGCATCATTTCATGACATTTTTTGCCTTTGATGAAAGGGGTTTCAGAGATGGCATATTTACCCCATGCTGGAAGTAATTTGGCCATAGACTTTCTCCTAGTGTCCATACAAGCTTGGCAAAGCTTAGGACACAGGCTCCTAGGACTTCTTTGGTGCTGTACATTCAGATATTTAACACAAATGAGGCAGTAGTGTTTAAAGGGGATAAAAATGCTGAGTGAAGGAAAGTGCTACATAAATGCAACTGCCTGCCATACCCCCAGAAGGAGCTATGGCTTAGCCCAACTCTGAATTGCACTAGCTGGACATGGGTTAGGCTCAAGATACGCATCCTGGTGCATGTAAAGGCTGAATAAAAGTTACTCATTACATGCTTTAGTCTAGAACTGAGTTTGCAGTTCTTATAAAAAAATAAATTAAAAATTTTAAAAAAATTAATTATGGCTTTATATTAAAATTTCAGAGGAGGACACTAAGGCAAGCAGTACACTTCACAGCAACTAACAGATAGATGCCTGGAGGCATCAAATGCAAGTAAATCCCAGATGTATGGCTTGTGATTTGGGTTATAAACCTATGCACTAGAAGAGGGAGGATATGGAACAGTGTATTTCTTTGCTCCCTTGACCTGGCCTCTGTGTCCTGATCAAGCAATAAATTTTGATAAACAACCTGCTTTCCAAGCTCCCAGCTTTCCAAGCCCCCATCTTCTGGCTCTCTAGCTGTCATAAGAAGACAAGAACAACCAAACACTTATGGACCTCAGAGAACTCACAGTAGAAAAAAAATAGCTTAAATTCTGCAACTGCAGAAAAAGATCCTTCTGTATTAATCAGCAGAAAACAAACAAGTGAAAAAAGTTGTGATGTCCAAATAACATTTTTTCCCTTTCTAGGTCATTAGTGTTCTGTCTGACCTTGGCTTGTTAAAATTACATTCTTGCTCTTTCTCTCTCAATAGGAATAACACCTTTCCAACTCATTTATCTGATACTTATTCAGTGGGAAAATCATAAGGAAACTGGGAAGATTTGGAGTTGGTTCCCTGGGCTACTTCAGGTTTTGTGTTTGAATTCAATAGTGGTATGAAATGCATTAACAGTCTGGAAAGCACAGCTCTTCTCTCAGGAGAACGACTGAACCACTTTGTTCCAAAATCAGTCTTTTATTTATTTGCTTAGTGTTAGGAACATTCCGGGTGTTGAAACATGCCTGGTTATACCCGGAAATTGTTATAACAGTTCTGGACACAGTTTTGACCTGGGGCAGATGCCACTCTTCCAAACAAACTTTGGATGTGGTCTAGGGTATAGCATAGACCAGAGACCATTGCCAAAAAGCAACTTAGCTGCAGCCACTCTGATTGGGAAGGCAAGTGTTCAGTAGTTAGGACAGGACAGCAAAAGGAGCAGTCATTGTATTTCATTATCTGTTGTTCTTGTTTGTTTATTTTTTGTTTTCCTCAAAACATTTTCTTTATTATAGAGTAGTGAGACCAGCTTGTACTCTAACTTTCTATATTTATCTTAACATTCAAATAAAAAAGTAAAACATTGTCTCCAGATACTTGGAGATAATTTTTCTTTTGTTACTATTTTCACAACGTTACTGATAAATCTTTCTTTATACACCACTTGACACTGCTAAATCCTCAGCTGGATGTCTATATTTAACTTCAAGAACTGTGCTTCAAAAGAGATGGGAGCCAAGTGAATAGAGTCAGAAAAAAGGCAACAAGAAGGGACATGTTTTCTAGACCTCTGACCAATGAAGAAAGATTGAAAGAATTGGATCTATAGAATAGGGAGAGACAGAAGTCTTTCAGCATACCAACATCTGCTGCAAAGACAAAAAAATAACACTCCAATCTCCGTTTTTGTGATGAACAAATAAGGAAGCAAAGGATTTAAATTTTGAGAGGGCAAATTGGGTACCAGGTAAAACTTTGTAACAAAAGGAGGTCTGGAATGGATTGATTTGAACTGTTGTGGGCTTTCTAGACCAACTTTTTCATAAAAGTCTTTCAGGCCAACTACTAAGAAGAATGACCTGGGATAGCCAGGTTAGTCTTGGGCTCAAAAGATGCTTTAAGAGCCTTGAGCTCCTTCCTCCTTCTATGACTTTGACTTTTTTTTCTGTATTTGAATATTAATGAAGTAGTGTCCACATATTTCAATCTATTGCAAATCATCTTTGAAGAGGTTTTTCTTCCCCTCACATCTGTTTGGTTTAAAAATCCTCTTATATCTCTGAACACGTACTCTTTACAGACCTGTAAATATGAAGCAAGATTTCAGGGTATATATCCATGTAGTTATCTATTGAAAAGATAGATATTTTAATAGGTTTTGTGTTCATTGTTATATTATTTACCCTATACTGAGGAAACTTAGGCTATGAAAAAACCTTTGATAACAAGATCATGACCCTTCTCTGGACCTTGTCCCTGAATTATGACTTAGCTACCAGTGGCTCCCTTGCAGACTGTTTTCTTTACTCTGGTGGGCTAAGAGTGAAATCTTGGATGGCACAGGGTTCCTGGCCATAGGAAGCTTAAAAGCGTGAATCCAAAATGTTGCACAAATGAAACTGATGAAGTTTGTCCATTGTAATTTTCACTTGCACTGCCATACACTCCAAAAATGAGAAGATTTTAATGTGGAAAAAAAAATGTTGGTCAAAGTACAGTGGTTAAATGTTTGAAAGGTGACATTATTTACAAGACTTCAGCTTTGTAGCACATTTTTTGAAAATCTCTGTCAGCATCCCATTAGTGCAACCCGTAAATACCACAAGTATTGGAAAAAGTGTAATGGGTAAATGGGCACTCCTAAACCTGGTGTTTGCACAAACTAATGCTCTTCTCAAAGTGTAAAGTGTACAACCTGAAAGATCAGATCCCTCTTCAATGCTGCATTAATGTTTTTCCTTTGCTTAAAAAAAAAAATTCATAAGATTTATACCACATTAACTAGTATCAAGTCACATGCTATCCAGTGGAACCTCACCACCTTGAATGATCTAATTATCTGTTCAAAGGTTTTCTGATTTCACCAAAAAAACAGTTAAACAATGTATGAGGAGTTAAGTGAACAGAGTGCCCACTTAAGTAAAACCTATTTAACTAAGACTGGAAAAAAAGAAGGGAAAAGAGTTGGTTCTAGTAAAATTGATCTATAAATTTTTAGCAAAATTGGAAATAAATATTTTTTAATAGTTTTGCAGAGACAGTCTCCAGGGCTTTGGGATTCCCTTTGATAATATAAGGGAGAGTTTAAGAGTCTTAGGGTAGGTCTTTAGTGAGGATTCTTACAGAGAGAGAGAAGTCTGAAAAGAAAACCTAGTCCTAGTATTGACTGCTCCTTGCAACAAACCTCCTTCAACAGGCAGGAAAACAGAACAGATGCTTTGTTTTTCTGCAATTCTTCCCTAATGACTGTAAAAACTGAGTGCAGTTTCTTAATGATTTGCTTTTAGTAATATTCTGCAATAACTAGGCAAGATGCCAGTTGGCAAATTACAACAAATATGTCCTTCTTAATCCCCCCACAGTCTCCCTATTGGCCAGGACCCTAATGAGCATGGACTGCTGTGTTGCAGGAATAAATGCTCAGCTGCATGAATGGCTCCACCGCTCCTTAGGTACCTGGCAAATTAAAAAGTTGATAAACTTAATGTCTTACTTGAAGGGAGAAGTGGATGTTTTCTTGGCAAATTAAAAGTGAATTAGATCTCTTTATCAGTGTTTTTTTTCCCCCCGGACTGTGACAACCTGGAAAAAGACGTAGTGATAAAAAGGGTTCATCTAATCACAAATCTCATTAAGACAGTCTGAATGACAGCAGGTTACTGTGAGCTGAAAGAGCATAGCTTTGCTTTCAGCACACTTTCCATTAAAAATGACATATGAGATGTGGAGAGAGTCACAGCATAAACCATAGGGAATGTACTTGTTTTAAAAGCACACCAATGATCAAACAAACCTGATTCTGGGAATAAAATGTACAGCATCTACAAATGGAGGATAGGCTTTTAAAGTCCATTCAAGTATGTACAGTCCCCAAAGCATCTACTTGCTTTTCTCAGCTTCTGCAGAACTAGGATATAACAGCATAGAATGGAGCTGTTGGTAAGGAGCCATGCTAAGAGTGTTTTGCAGACAGTGTGTCCTTGTCAGTCATGAAAAAGCTAAAGTTACTAACGAAAGCAGTGCAAATAAAGTAAAGATTTCTACTCTGTTTCCAGTTCCAAAGACTTCTTGCAAGATATTTTGTCCTAAATAAACTAGGCTACATTTTCTTCACAGAGATAATCAGCCTGAAACAGGAGAAAATATATTTTGAAAGTGGTTGAAAAAGAATGGGAATATTACAGGAGAAATCTGGAGTTAGGATCATGTGTTCCACCAAATGTCTAGGGAAGACTTATTTGCTTTAATAAAGACAGACAATGAGGAGTCATGAGAAGATCCATGAGAAAATCCTCATCAAATACTCTGTTTTGGAAAGTGTGTGTCCTTGAGACAGGAAAGCAGCAGGGGCAGAAATACCACGGTTACCTGTACACTTACCCAAGGTCCAGTTCTAGGGACAGCGTAGCATGGGCTTCTGCAGAAAACGAAACATGTCTTGCTCTGCAGTTTGCTTGCCAGGTCACGATGCAAGCTTTACAACACAGAAACTCTATTGAAAAACCCCCAAATCACTAATTTCATTAAGGAAATTGTTTGCAGTATGGAAAAATTCTCCTAGTAGAAATTTACACATTGTCAAATCACGCAGACGCAGCAAAGTTTGCATTGCTATGGAAACAAAGCTTGTGCCGTGAAAAACAACTTGCAAGTGACTGTGAAAAGTAAGTTTTCAAGAATGACACTTTTCAGCTTGATTGTGAAAGACACAAGCATCTTGGTTTAGAAGGCTGTTTTTATTTAGTTTTCCACAGAGACAGATTACTTTCACCTCCATTCTCACAAGTCTGACATCAAAAACTATCAACATACATATATGAACTATACAGGCAGAGAAATCTGCCAGTATGGAGTTACACTTCTTCTATCAAACACACTAAGAAAAACAAATATGATCCCTTCCTTGCCCATCTAATAAAAAAAGAACATCTAAGTCAGGATAGAATGTTAATCATGAAGTGTTTTCTATATACGAGTCTAGTTATTTGTAAAAGAGTAAAAAAAAAAAAATCTAGTTTCTGATGTTTAAACAAAACATACTTTATACATTTGGCTAAGCTGAAATATCATACCTTGCCAAATGAAAAACTGCTCCCTAATGGTATGTTCCCTAGCAGCTCAGTAGGTATGCAAGGCATGCAATTCATTTCCTGCCAAGGTGGAGAAAAATGGGTAGGTCTGAGATAATATTGCTAGTGTGCTTGTTAACACTGTAGACTGCATATATATATATTTTGACTCTTAATCTCCTTGAAAATTTCCCGGGTACAACTTTTGAGTTAACTCCCTTTTAGCTCTCAGTGATGGAGTGTTCAATGGGAATTTCCAGAGCATTACAATCATCAGTGAGGAACACCAAGTCCTGCAGAAACAAACAAAAAAGAAGGCTAACATTTATAAGGAGGAAGGCAGAAGATAGCACAATGTTGAGAAGCTCAGGCTTCATCCAGTTTTGCTGGTTAGGGAACAGTGTGGAGACAGATAGGTCTAGAAGCAGAGGCCATACTGATGTATCTTGACCTACCCTTCTGCAGTAGGAGATCAAGATGGTGTACAGGCTCCGGGCTTTTTCCTTCAGCTCGTTCACTTCAAGCACCGTATCACATCTGGGGTAGGCCACAAAATCACGGAGCTTTGCCAATACACAGTAATTCTGCAAAGCACGCAAAAGAGGTCTGTATAACCCTGCACAAACACAGATTTATGTTCCTTGTCCACCACTTCCAAAATTCTTACTGCTTATGTGGGAACCTTGAATTCCTACCTCTATGTGCATGTAATCTATGTAACCTTTAGTTAGGAAAATTCACTGTCAATATTTCATAACAAAGATGTTTTGTCCAAATAAGTGCTTGGAAAAGTGGATGTATACAGTCTTGGTCTGTCAGCTTCTTTCTCACATGCTTTAGGAGGCAGCAGTGCCAATGCAATCAAATCTGTTCCTGTAGTAGGTGGAGTTATCTAAAGAATAGGTGCACTGTATTACTTTAAGAGAGCACCTGATTTAGCTGATGAACAGATTATCAAGATCTCACAGACTTGACTGCTCTGTTCCTGTACAATAGGCAATACCATGGCTACCAGTCAAGATTTTTTCAGAGTAATTTTTACCTCAAACTTTGTGTTATCAAAATAAAGCAGAGACAATATGAATTTCACAATGTCCTTGTGAAGCAGGTAAATAAATACCCCAGCTCTTGTTTAAGGCAAGGGAAACTGAGGCACTGAACTCACATTGCTTGGCTTTTGCAATGATGTGAAACACTGGCAGCTCTAGAACTGGGGTCTAGAGGTCCTAAATTATAAGACTTGATGGTGTAGTTGCTTCTGGAAAAATGTGTCAGACATTTGTTTTTTCTGATATTTTCTATTTTTTATTTACTCAGTGGAGCACTGGGAAAAGAAGCAAATATATCAAATATCCCAGGGCAGAACACTATGACATTAACTGTGTGTGCAGGAGGTTATTTTGTCTTTGCTGGAAGATGACTACTGCTGTCTTTTCTCAGTGTCACATTTCCATATCCTCAGGCACACTTTCTTTCTAGATTCAACATGTGGCTATTTAAAACAGAAAAAAACAGCAAAGGTATTCCTATACTTCTTTTAAATTGAAACAACATTATTATTTTATTACTTATTTTATTAAAACTATCAGAAAACACTTAGGATACAAATTTAAGTAGATTTATTAAGTGAAGAAATTTTATTCTGCATTTCTTGTTTTAAACTATTATTCAAAACTTGTTGCACATATTTAACTTCTGAAAAGGCTCTGCCATAATAAATTAATGATGTACATATGGCAATCACTTAAAAATATTGATTTCCTCATTTTTTAATCAAGTAAAATCTTAGAAAGTCCAAAAGAACCTTTTAATAAGGTTCAAAGTAAGATTTTTTTTTTTGTCACTCCTCTCTCTGGTTAATTAAAGTTTTAAACATTCCTTTTAAACCACTCTTCTGAGGTACAATCTTAAGAGTTATTCTCACTTTTCATAAACTGCTTTTACTGCACAACAGTAAGAAAGAAGTGTGCAAACTTACATGTATGTCCAAATACAGCCTGGGCAGTGTCTCCACACACGAGTCCTGCAGGAAAAAAGAAAGACCCCATTGCAATTTTGTTTTGAGAGAAACCTGTGTCAAAAGCAGCAACCTGCAGCTTCTGTGCAGGAGCAATTTCTAGGTGGACTCACCACATCTTTGGAGGTCTGCAACTCCTTAAAGGACTCTGTGATTTCTTTGCTCAGAGACAACACCCTCGAGTAGCAAGTCGGAGGGGCTGCACTGGCTAGCAGGGCTGCAGAGAGCAGAGCAATCAGGCTCAGCAGCATCTTCATTGTGGGGTGTTTGTCCAAAAGAGGAGGAAGGAAGGGAAAGAATCACCGTCAGTGTTTAGGCAGGTACTGGTGAGCGTCAACAAGTAAGTTTGACAAATCAGCCCTCAATTAAATAGTCTCCTGCATCAACAGGAAAAAAAAAAGCCTGGGGGTGGTCCAAGCAGCAGCTTACTGCTGTCTTAAATTTCCTGCCAACCTATGAGACAGAGCTGCTAGTGCTTTCCTGCCTGGAGGAGGGAAGGAGGGAACGAGAGTAATAAAAACAAACACCACTGGCACTTTTCATTCCAGAAAGAAAAAAACCTAGTAAGCATCTCAAACAACAGAAATCTGTGTAAGAAAAACCACAGGCTTATCAAAGTGTCATAGGCCCCGATCCTGTATGTGCTTTGACACATGCATCTGTTTTTTGAGAACCTAATGTACAGCTGTGGGACTACATAGGCTGTAGATAGAGAGAAATTCTTCCAGGATGGGTGTCATGTTGGCGGTATCAATCAGGCCTGTTTATCATCCTCAGAAACTCTGAAATATGGTTTTAAAGGAAAACTCCCAGGTCTAGTATAATTTTCTCATTTAACTTAATCATGCATTAGTGGAGTTTGTGATCCTGATGGATATGGATCAGGTAAGGAGTAAAGTTAGGTCCCTGAACTTTAGGAAGGGAAACTTTCAGCTCTTCAAGGAGATAATCAATAGGATCCCCTGGGAAACTGCCCTGAGGGACAAGGGAAGTGGAACAGAGCTGGTAGATATTTAAGAAAGTCTTCCATAGAGCACAAGAGTTAGTGATCCCCAGGAACAATAAACCAGGCAAGGAAAGCAAGAGACAATCATGGCTGAGTAGGGACCTGCTGGTCAAACTAAAGGAAAGGAGCAAATGTGGAGGCAGTGGAAACAGGACAGGTAACCTGGGAAGAGTATAGAGATGAAGTTTGGTTGTGTAGGGATGGGGTGAGGAAAGTCAAACTGAAGCTGGAACTGAACCTGACAAGGAATGCAAAGAATAACAAGGGCTTCTTTGGTTATGTTAACCAGAAAAGGAGGTCAAAGAAGGTGTACCCCCCTCCATAAACAATGGTGGTAAACTCTTGGCAACAGATGAGGAAAAGGCTGAGTAACTCAACAACTTTTTTGCCTCAGTGTTCAATGGCAACCTCTCTTTCCACAGTTCTCGAGTGGATGGACAGCAGGATGAGGATTGGGAGAGCAAAGTGATTCCCACTGTAAGTAAAGATCAGGTTCACGACCACCTGAGGAACCTGAATGTACATAAGTCTGTGGGACCTGATGAGATGCATCCCAGGGTCTTGAGGGAGTTCGCTGATGTAGTTGCCAAGTCACTTTTCATGATATTTGAAAAGTCATGGCAGTCAGGTGAAGTCCCAGGTGACTGGAAAAGGATAAAAATTTTACCCATCTTTTTAAAAAGAGTAGAAAGGAAGATCCTGGGAACTACCAATTGTCAGCCTCACCTCTGTGCTGCTGAAGGGAGCCTACAAGAAAGATGGAGGGGGACTTTTTACAAGAGCATGTGAAAAGGACAAGGGGGAATGGCTTCAAACTGAAAAAGAATATGTTTAGATTACATATTAAGAAGAAATTCTTTCCCATGAGGGTGGTGAGGCACAGTAGCAGGTTTCCCCTAGAAGCTGTGGGTGCCCTGTCCTTGAAAGTATTCAAGGCCAGGTTGGATGGGGCTCTGAGCAACCTGGTCTAGTGAAAGGTGTCCCTATCCATGGCAGAGGGGTTGGAACTACATGATCTTTAAGGTGACTTCCAACCAAGCCATTCTATGATTCTATGCAAATGCTCACAGTTTATCAATCTAAAAATAGGGCTTGTTATGACTGCTTGGGAAGTCCAGTGTACTTACATATTCATGGTCTCAAATAGAGCAAATACATCTCTATATGGCTGTCATAAATGTATAAAAACTATTTTGCTTTCTGAGTTGAATTTATGAGGTTCTGTTCTTTTATTAGATGCCAGACGGAGCTGAGAAATCCAGATGCTGGGATGCAGGCCTGAAGCCGAACATATGTTGTTTTATATGTTAATTGTCCTGTAAAATGGAGGTACCCTTGAATGAAGAACTGGTTATTTTGAAAGTTATGCCACTCCCCAACTTTTTAAATTCCGATTTTAGTGAGGTATTAAGCAAAACAATTACGTATCTGGTGAAGTACTGCAATCCTCTGACATTGCAGTAGACCAGGAAGGTTCACTGAAAGGTGGGAAACTAGTTTTGGGGAAAAATAAGTACTCCGTATGTTGCAGAAGACTGTGAGTTAAATCCACCAAAAGACCTGGAGGAAACGGGAGAAGAGAGCTGCATTCTACTGTCTTGTTACACACTTCTTTGCCTTCGTAAGAAACAATTGGTTTAGTAACATCATGTGCTCCTGAATGTTAGAGAGGTAGGCCGTTGGAGAGGAAAGAAGAGCTGGGAATCCTGGTTATGGAGATTTTAGGACTGACCTTGGAGAATGGGCTACTGGGTTCTATTTTCAGGAAAGGGATTTGCCTGGACAACTGAATGAAGATGCCTGAGGGAGACAGGAAGCATCTTGAGATGGCCCCAAGCAGCTGGATCACAGATCTAAACACAGCTACCCAGTGAAAGTCCAAGGAAAGGATGCTACTGACTGTGAGTCTTGCTGGTAGAGAAACAGACTCTTAATCACCATCTCATTACTGTAAAGAATAGCTGAAGGTAGGAATGAAATATTATCCTTCTATCACATTCACATTTGGTAAGCTGCTAAAATGTATTTGCTCTGCCAGAACAGCAGTTTTCTGAACAGCATAAATGCTCTCCCAGTACAAGAAGTAAGTAACCAAGCTGCTGCTAAGGATAGCTTGGGAGAGCAAAGGCTGCCCCAAAACATTTAATCAAATTAAAAAAAATTACTATTTTGTGAAGGGGAAAAATAGCTAAAGTGATTTGCTTTGAAGTTTTTGCTCAGTTGCAGTATTCCTGCCTCGTGGTTTCTCTTTGATCCTATAAAAACTAAGTCAAGGAAAGTCACTTGTGATGGATATCTACTCAAATAGTTTAAAAAGTTAGCTAACATCAGAAACACCAGTTTTTTTTTTCCCGAAAAAAACCCGAAAGACCGGAGTTTAATTTCCTCACCTACATCTTCTCCCTGTGCCAGATTACTTGCATAGTTGATTCTGACCCAAAGGAGTATTTCCCAATATCTACTAGCTCATCAGTACTACCACCCATCTCAGCATGCAGAATATGCAACTCAGTTAAAAAAAAGACAAATAGTCTCTTAGTTATTTTCTGTTTGTAGCTCATCAGCAAGATTATCCTCAGTCTCCGAGTACATTCAGTTTCTGTTTCAGATATGGGTAAATAAATTCTTTTTCTCTAAGAAGCTCACTGGTGTCAGTAGAACTTGCAAGTGACACCAGGCACTGGAAGTTCTTTCAGTCTAAGGCATCTGGCACAGTTACCGAAGCCCTTGAAACTCCAGAATCTTTTCAGTGACTGTTTTTATCCAGTCACTTATGCAAAGCCACTTATTAATTCTGGTGCATTCCCTGCCTTGAGCAGAGAAGGTCTTTAACAGGGAGATACAAGCTGTTCTTCACAAAGGCTAATAGCGTCTTAGAGGCAATATTCAAATGGATGTGGAAATAGAATTTAGAGGTACAGGAGGGGAAGGGGCAAAAGATCAAAATATATTAGTCAAAACTCGCCTAAGGATTGCCTCGATGGAGAAGCAACTATTTGCAGCTCTTCTAGTCTGTGGGATAACGCTTAGTCTGGCATTAGAAGGGAGCAGAACAGGAGATAATCAGTACCACCATATTCACTATGATCATCATGCTACAGACATCTCCTGCACAGACACATCCTTATCATGCTCTTCCATCCAGTGAGCATATGGGGGCTTCCAGGGCTCAGGACACACACTCTCTGAGTTTTGCCTTAACTCTTGAGGCTGATGATGTCGCTACATGTCTGAGTACTATTTACAGTACATTTATTTACTCTTATATACAGAATATTCCATGGCAAAAGCAGACCTGGGCTGAGAGGAAACTTAGAAGCCTATCATGACATAACTGTGTATATATTTATATATTTTTTTAAAAGAGGTATGTTGTTTTTTTGCTTCCAAGTTACTGAAAACTCAAAAAATAATACTTTTGGAAAAGTCAAAGGACTCACTATGCAGGCAGAAATTCCTCCCATGTTTGAACAGTCTAACAGGGCCTCCACCAACTTTGACAAAAGCCCTTTCAACCTGATGATTTCCCAGTACCAAAATCCACTTGTTTAATGAAAATGTTTATTTAAAAATAGTCAGGGACTGTCATGAGGCAGCCTCTGAAAGGAGCTTCTGAAAAATAGGTAAAGTAAAACATAAAAACAGTAAAACAGAGGAAGCCCTGTGTATTTAAGCAGTGCTTCAAAGCCCTGTGACTCAGCTGTGTTTGTTGTGACAAAGGTGCCACTTCTTGCTTCAGGGCAGGGCTAAACTGTCCTGCAAGCTTTCATCTCAGGACCATGCTTTTTGGAAACCCTGGCCTCTTGGTTAAGGTCTTACCTGTTATTCCTTGCTGTGCAACAGTACACTTTTTTGAGCCTTTTTGTAGACATCAGGACTGAATTTTGGTACAGGAGTTGTGCACCCTCACACTTTACCCTGAGTCTTGAGGGTGCTGGTGCACAAGGCTGCCAGCTGCCTGGCACAGAAGGGAAACCAGGTATGGCAGTGTGCCTGCATTTGAAGCTGGGGTAATTCAGTGTGTCTTATTTTCTGTTCTGTGATAGCAATAGGTTTCTGCTGGTGATCTGCATGGCTTGGCCAAGCTGTGGGCAATGGACAAAGCAGGCAGGATCTCAGAGTTGTCACTGGGCTGCTGTTGCAATGCCATTTCCCCATGACAATTAAGCTTACTCAGTGGTACAGGCTTCTTTTTTCTTTACTGCTGTTGTTATTTTTTAAAATTTACATATATACTGGGGAAACTGATGCTACTGCTCAAAAGCCTGTTCTTAAAGAAAATGGTTACAGAAGCAGCTATGCCATCTGGGTCTGAAAAAGTAATTAGATGTTCTGAAATCTGTATGTCTAGCTAGCGTGAACCTGGCACTGGGAGTTTCGCTGCAGGAACACATATGGAAATGAGGAGTCCCGTGGTCCAGGACAGAGACAGGACAGCCCAGCAGGGCTAGGGAACGGGAATAATTTCTATGTGCTGCCTCAGACCAGTGACCA